GGTTGAGCTATAGGCGCCGAGCCCCTATTTTTTAAATATATATAAAATAGCAAGTGTTAAAGCTATCCAGTTTAAAAAAAAAAAGAAATACGACAAACTCACTGCTTAAATACCTTTATTCTTTTTTAAAAAGTATTTGGACATTGATAGCTCTGCAAAATACTTTTCCCATCCCAAATCCTCAAACCCTTTTCACATGTCCTCCATAAAGAAACAAAATATTCATACTTTGCACCCATTCAAATCTAATTTTTAAAAACATTTAATATTCAAAATCAAATATTATTTTTCCTTCCCATAACTGTTAGTAATTTTAAACCACAATGCAACATACTTAATGGCATTTCTTTTAAAAAATTAGCTTATCGAACTATTTTATAAGGAAAAAAAATTCAATTCAAGGCCTTAGTGAGAATATAAATTTTCTGTTTCTGAAAGCAAAAGACATCGAAAAACCCCATTGCTCCCTTGGAGTCTGTGATTTCACTACCAACAGAACCAGCACACAAACTGACTTTCCACTTAGTATCAGGCATTGTTTCATTACTTTTGGGCTGCAGCTCAAACACTTTCTAAACTGTGAAAGGAGGGGTGGGTGGAAGTCCAGCCCAGAGGGCAGCAGAATGGAGGCTTTCTGAGCAATGGGTAGGAACAAACAGATCCCTGGGAGCTGTTTGGTAGAGAGAGAGAGGAAATCTGCAGTCAGTGCTCATTTCTTAATGATGGATACAAGTGTCAGCCAAAAATATTGCACATAGTATCAGAGGCATGTGAACCACTGAGAAGGTTCAGGAAAGCATAACTGTGGATGAGGAAAACATCTAACCCTTCCCTGTCCTCAGTGGGCAGGCTTTTAAGTGGTCAAATCTTTATTACAGATGTGTTTGAAGTAAAGGTATTATTTCTTCATTTTTCCCAGTACAAGTAATGGTATGTGCTTCATTACCTACTAAAAAGGAGAGAAGAAAGAAACTCTACAGGATGTGGCCTGCCTGGCTAGAACACCAGCAGTGTTGGCAGATGTCCCCTGCCCACTGGAATCACCACCCAGAGCCACAGGAGAAGCCCCCAACAAGCACCAGGGATGACCTCTCCCCACAGAGCTCCAAGTGGGGCAAGGAGGCTCATCAAATGCAGGGGTACGGCCCAGTACACCGTGCAGAGGACTCAAGAGTATGATGCCCACGCTGCAGGGAGAAGCCACAGGGCCCTGTGGCCCCCTTCCTCCTTAGTGGCTCTGACATTTAACTGAAGACACAGTGAGCACCTCCTGGTGAATATGATCATCTGGGTTTGCCCAGCCAGCCATTCTGATGCCTTGTTAAGTTTTAAAATTGAGAAAACTTTTCTGCTGCATCTTTGGGAATGGATGTGAATTACTTTTCCCCTTAAGTCACAGAGGCAACGTTTTAGGGATCGAAGGCCCTGCCTATCCTGAATGAGTGGGTTGCCCCTCCATACTCATTCCTGGGACTAAAACTTTATATATCACAAGTGCCCACTGTCTAACTTCTCCAAATACTTCTCCCTTAAGGCGTCCCCTAACATTCAATCTCAGTAACATACAGTACATTATGTTAATAAAAGGAAAGTCACTTCTTAATAAAAAATTGTCCCACCACTCAGCTCCTCTCCCTGAAGTGCTTTACGCTCTCTTACACCATCTGTGGATGTGCAACCTCAAGGTTGCTCTGCTCTGGTGGGTTATAATGCTATCTTGTTTTTAAAGCTTTTCCTCTTATATTAGGAGTAAGTCTTATGAACCACCAGAAAATGCCAATTCCCCAAAGCCCTGTCTATATTTGCGGGCTACAACTGATGCCAACCTATTAAGCTTTTTAAACATTAAAAAAAACCCCAAAACAAAAACAAAAAACAAAAAACCACATACACACGCACACACACACACTTTGGCACAGGAGCCTCGTGTTATTTGAGTGTGTTCATGTCTCCCATCCCTCCCCACCCCATCCCAACATTTCAGAGTCACTGTTTTTGGAGAATCACAACCCCTTCGGCTTCATGGAAGAGCTCACCATGAAGCACTGTTGTTCTGAGGTACAAATGCTAAACGGGCTCCAAAAACAGTCTGGTGTTTAGCACTATAGTTTATGCAATGCTGCAAAACTTTTGTACCAGGATGACTAGTTTCAAAACTGCTGGTTGATTAAATATACATATACATATACATATAAAAATTACTAAGTCAACATTTGCTGTTTTCAATGTGAAAACGATAAAATGTAATTCTGAATAATTGTGCATTTGCCATAGGGTCCTCGTTAAAGGGACCATAAAAATAATTTTGTAATAAAAAAACTCTTATTTTTAAGTTTAGTATTGCCCTCAAGTTCAAAAGTTTAGAGCAAATGTACTGAGTAAGCAGGACTGAAATCTGTTCCTGCCAGGGGTCTGGAAGCCTTGTATTTAGTGACCCCGACGGCAGGCCCAGGAAACCTGACAGCCACTGAGTGTGAACGGTGCCAGGCTCAGCAGCACCTGTTGGCCCGTGAAGCCATCATAACTGAAGACTGAGGTGGCCTAGCAAGGACCACTCAGCCTCCGCCTCTTGTGTCGCTGGCGGCAGATACTGCTGCGGCTCGCCAGCTCCCTGCACAGAGCTGTGGGGCACAGAGGTGTGGGGCTCTGCCCTCTCTTAAGCTACCAGACAAAGCAATTGGGGGAGGGAGGCCTGGGGCCCACTGAGCACCAAGGCTGAGGGTGATCTGGGAACAGATCTTTTACTTGGCTGGAGGAGGAAGGAATATGGAAATTTCAGTGATGCAGAAGTTAGCTGTGCAGGAAGGAAAAGTGCATGTAAGGTAGCTTAAAAACAGACGAAGACCAAACTACCACCGAGAGGGAGGAAGAATGGAGACCACTCCCTTCCCCTGCCCTGCTGGTCAGCCATGCTCCGTGGATCCTGGGGGTTAACATTCATGCTTTCTGAAGCAAGTCTGCTCGTGAAGAAACAGGAACACACTTCTTCTGGTTCTGGCAGGTACACAACTTTCTCAGCAAAGTTCATTTTTGCCAAGTTCAGTTTTATTTGGTTGCTGTTCTGAACCGCTGTCACCGGAATTCATAGATAGGTGCGCTGTGTTCAGGGACATGGGTTAGATTGAGAGACTGATACCTGAATGGGGGAGACAGACAGGAGAGAGTCACCTAGTGCACACTGGGCAAAGGGTCCTAGAAAACCTCCCCAAACCAGAGCGCCCAGCAAATCCCACACTGGGACTGAAATGCAAATTCATTTTAGACTTCTCAGATTGAACATAGTCTGAGTTCCTTTTTTTTTTCCTTTGGTTAATCCTCCTGAATGCATAAGATGAATTGTTTTTTGGCATTCTGCTCTGATCATGAAGTAACTATGGTTGTTTTATAAAAACAAGAGCCCAGTAAGCTCTGGGAGAAGGTGCAGACCCATGCCCCAGCCCCCTCACCTGCCACTCTCTTCTCCCATATAATGCTAGGCTGTTGTATCCTAAGAACTTAATGGATAGCACGAAGATATTCTATTTTTTTTTTTTTTTTTTGAGACAGCCTCATTATGTCACCCTTGGTAGTGTACCCTGGTGTCACAGCTCACAGCAACCTCAAACTCATGGGTTTAGGCGATTCTCCTGCCTCAGCCTCCTGAGTAGCTGGGACTACAGGCACCCACCACAATGCCCGGCTATCCCTCTTTTATTACAGTTGTCATTTTTGGTTTGCTGGCCTGGGCTGTTCAAACCCGCCACCTCCGGTGTATGTGGTTGGCACCGCAACCACTGTGCTATGAGAGCCAAGCCAGCACGAGCATATTCTAATTCCAAAGATAACATAGAAAAAATAATTTCACTGCTGCCTCAAAGCTTATTTCATCATTCAGCTCCTTTTCTTGCTTCCCAGGGAACACTATTAAGCTTGGAAAACATTAGAGCTACCTGAGGTGTTTGTTTCCCCACACTGATAGGTGCTCCAAGGAGTCCCACAGAGGAAGAACAAACAGTGGTGGACAACCCCCATCTAGCAGGATACCCGCCAGACACACCTAGAGTCAACAGCTGGGGTGTTAGCTTTCCCTACATGTTTCACATAGGAGTGAAGAAGAACACAGAAAAAACAGTCTGTTTCTTACCCAAAAAATTATCAGGAAAGGAATATGCATTAGCCAGCAAGAATACACAAATAAAAACTAAAAACTATAATGAGATACTGCTTCACACCCATTGGGAAGCTAGAGTTATAAAGACATGGTAACAAGAGTTGGGGAGGAGATGGAGAAACTAGAATCCTCATATATTGCTGGTAGGGAAGTAAAATGGTACAGCTGCTGTGGAAAGTACTTTGGCGGTTCCTCAAAAAGTTAAATATAGAATTACTGCATGACCCAGCAATTTCACTCCTAGGTGTGTGCCCAAAGACACTGAAAACAGGAACTCAGATACTGATATACCCATCTTCACAACAGCATTATTCACAATAACCCGATAAATAAAAGGATGTATAGATATACAAAATTGTTGGGCAATAAAAATGAAGTTCCGACACATGCTATAACATGGATGAAACTTTAAAGTACTATGCCAAGTAAAAAAAAGGCCAGTGGCAAAGGCCATGTATCATAGGATTCCATTTAGGCAAATCTGTATACAGAGAAAGTATGTCGGTGGCTGCCCAGGGCTGAAAGGGGATGGGGAATTGGTGGTGACAGCTAAGGGGTACAAGACTTCCTCTGTGGTGATGAAAATGCTCTAAACTTGATGGTTGTACAACTCTGTTAACATAGTCAAGACCACTGACTGGTACACATTAAATGAATGAATTGCAGAGTACTCAAATATTTTCTCAATACAGCTATTATTTTTAAAAAGGATTAGAAGTTTTAAAAACACATTTGAAAATAGAACAACTTCTGAAAGCCTAATAATCATGGTGTTTACTTGTAGATACAATTTTGCTGCCACTGAACAAGGAATTTGATTCAATCTAGGGTAGGATCACTCACAAATCACCAAAGTATGAAAATCTGGAAGGAAATAAAGTGTTTCTACCTTCAGAGAGGAAATCATGGTTGCCCATGTCATAAATAGCAGGTGCTTTAGAAGCAGCAAGGAAGCAGGCGAGTACCCCCAAAAGGTGGTAATAGTTAGCACCGAGATAATGCTCTGTCCTTCACTGCAGATGAAACATAGGACTCGACTCTCACAGCTCAAGGCTATGAGACAGAACCCAAGTGCTCGGACTCACATCTAAGAACACGGCCACAAAATTAAAAAGGATGACAGCAAAATTCAGTGTCCACAACTGGATCAACTCACATTTTAGTTATTGATTAAATTTGAGAAGATTAAATATTATACAAAACCATTAAGACTGAGATAAAAATATTGCTTAAGAGTATTTAAAAATGAGTTCCTTCACCCAATACTTCATTTTCAACTTGTTTGCTCTGTGGCTAGGGATGAGCCAGCAACTGAGATAATTTAAGTAGGTCCTTAACATCCAAATAAAGCACAAAATCTACACAGAGATAGGCTGGGAGATTTTCTTTTGAGGCCAAGGGAGAGCCTGGGGGGGGGAGAGTCTCTGCATGGCCTCTGACTCTGGGGACCCTTACCATTCTGAACTCCTATGATAGTAGTAGCCCTCTATGGAGGCTGCTGACTTCTGAAAGCAGATGTAGTAGAACCCAGCAAAGGAAGCACCGCTGATGTCTTTGATTGTGTGGTCTGGAACCAGGAACTGTTCCTGCACACAGACAAGGAAGATTCAGTGATAGACAGTACTCTCTTACCAGACCCTGGAATCTCCCTGTTAAAGATCAGAGAGTTCTAAGGACCACTCCAGAAAAATATACGATCTCATGGTCTAACCCAGACTTGCTGGGTGACAGAGCCTTGGGACCTCAGTCTGACTTCTTGTGCTCCTGGCACATTCTATATACTAAAGCAGCAAGTTCTGTCTTGAGCTCACAGAATCAGCAACTCAGAGAAGGGACCATAATCCAAAATTCTAATAAATAAATCAGTATGTGTACCTACCCATCTGCCTGCCTCTCTTCCTTCTAAAGACCACAGACAGAATGACTGGGAAGAGTAAGTTTATACTCCAGTTTCCAGGAGGCATCCATAGATGCTTGATGACATCTAGGATAGTGGTCACATCTGTAGGTCCATGGACCATTCTCAAAGGGCAGATCAGTTGCCAGTAGCCACTGTGACACACCTTCCAGGGGCTGAATACCTTGTCACAAGTAGTCAGAATGGTACTATTCTTGATCAGGCATCTTAGGAGAGAGGCAAATGTGCCATGCCTGTTAGACCAAGATACGAGAGGCCACATCCTGGCACCTGCTACCCCTGGAGATGAGGTCAGAAGCCCCAGGGCCCCAGGAGGTTCATGTGAGGCCTACAGATGAGCCATCCTACAAAATTCCTTGGAGATAAAACAGCTCCATTGCTTTTTTAAAGATACCCTTCTCTCCCTTATACAGCCTCTAAAACTGCAGTTTTAAAAACTTTTGAAGGTTTGGTTTTCTTTTTTTTTGAAACAGGATTTCACTTTGTCACCCAGGTTAGAGTGCACTGGTGTCATCATAGTTCACTACAACTCCTGGGCTTAAGCGATCATCCTGCCTTAACCTCCCAAGTAGCTGGGACTATCAGTACACAACACCATGACCAGCTAATTTTTAATTTTTTTGTAAAGATAGGCCCTTGTTATGTTGCTCAGGCTGGACTTAAACTTTTGGCCTCAAGCCATCTTCTTGCCTCAGCTGCGCAAAGTGCTAGCATTATAGTCTATGTGAGCCACCATGCCTGGCCTCAAAGTTTTTTTCAACATTAATTTTAAAATTAGAACAAGAAGCTTCCTTTAACAGGTTGTTCAGCTGGCATGCTTCACAGTAGATGGCAAGCTCACCAGGGCAGGGCTGACCACTTACTCCGTATCTGGCAACGTCTACTCAAAGAGTAGTGATCCCTGCCCCTCAAAATGCTGAGCAACGTAAAGGAACTGGAAACGACTCAACAGTCTTTATGAAAGTTGGTATAATTTCAACATAAAACAACTTTCTTTCCTATAGACTGGGGACTAGGAGACGGAGGTGGGTATATGTTCACAAAGTTATTTAACGAACTTGCTTCATGATTTTGTTATCCCATGGTTGTAAATATTGTGCTATCAAAGCAGGGAACATAAATGACTTCTCAGCTAAAAGCCAATCCATTGAGTCAGCCAGATGGAGCTCTTGGGAGGACTGCTGAGTAGAAAGCCCACATTCCATTCCTGGTCCCTCATTTCCTGAGCTGGAGGGAAGCAGAGGAGCTGAAACTGTTCTGAGCCCTGTGAAAGGACACGGGGGGTGGGGGGTACCCACCACTGGATGGCATTTTAGCCTGTGTGGGAGCAAGGTAGATAGGTGACTAAGTTCAAAGAAGTCTGGGTCTGCCTTGAATACAAAGAACACTTGAAATGAGTCAACATAGGGTTCTGATGGGATGCTTGGGTGGGAGAAAGGAAAGGGAGAAGACACAAATAGGGTGACCACCACCTAGGCCTGAATCCACCTACCTAACGCCAAACAGGGCAAAGGAGAAGCCACCTGGATTGCCAGCCGTTAACCAGGTGCATGACAAGCACAGAAAGACCCTGTCATGAAGACGACTGTGATGAGCAATGGACACAGGAGCCCATGGTTAGAGCAGACGTGGAACCGCTTCTCAGCCTTTTGGCTAAGATCCAGTGTACACTGGGCATGTAGGCCATCACAGGCTCCATGCACACTTGGAGTCCAGATAGCTGCCTGGGTGGGGCCTTACCTTCCATCTCATGAAGACATAGTCCCCGTTCTTCAGCTCTTCATAATCAAAGTCATCTGAGTTAAACGATTTTGCATATTGATAAAAAGCCAGAAACTTTCCCTGAAAGCAGTAAGGAGAGTATGATAATGGATCAGAAGGAAAGGCTGGTACCAGAACTACCCTTTTGCACCCAGGTGCATGACAGGTGGGAGGCACAGCTCTAGACAAGGGCAGCCAATGCCAAGTACTAGTAGGGGCCCTATGGCTACCCCCCATGAAGGCAGGCCTGAACTCTGGGGCAGATACTTGGACTTCAGCTAAGATACCACTGGACCTGGCATGGCCCAAGAAAAAGTCCAAAGAATGGAATGGACCCAATTTTAAGCCCCTTTCTCAGAACACCTTAGCACATCCAAAGGAGAGCTAAATTAACGAGATCTTGAAGTAAATCTATAGTAGCAAAAAAAGTCATGTAGAACAAAAATAGCCTGCCTAGCCTCAGAGGAGAAAGGTTTTAGTGAAACTTGGTCCTCTGACACGATATAGGGGTTTGGGCCAACTAGTTAAGTAGAAATTAGAAATGGGTTATACCATCATCCTTCTAGTTAGTTCTAGGCCTCCTGTGAATACCAAAATCAGTGGATGCTTAAGTCTCAGATATAAAATTGCATAGTATTCGCATATAACCCATGCACATCTTCCCATAGACTTTACTTTTAAAGTAAGGCATGTGAAGGCAGCCATAGCACCCTGCCCTGCCATACCTTGTGTGCCTGCATCAAGAATGGCCATTAGACCCTCTCTCACCTAGAAGACTTCAAATCCATCCTAGCAGAGGATGCAGACCCAGATATTCTCCAATGTTCTAGTGGCAGTCAATGGGAAAGTTACGAGTTGCTTTCTGGGTATTTCATTTGCAGTCAACCTAGCCTAAAGCTGAGTTGTCACTGGGCCTCAATGACTTTGCCTTTGCATGACCAGTTTGAAATGAGAAAGAAAGTTTGAATGGGAGACAGGCTGTGGTTTACTACAAGGAAGAACTTTCTACACAAGGTCAACTAGGAGAGGAAAAAGCCATCTCATGAGGAGGCAAGCCATGCAGTGAGAGCTCAGCCTGGGGCAGGTGTGGGTGCTGGTGACACCAGCAACCCCCCAACTCTGGTTTCTGGTACCAGGTACCATCACATACCACCTGGCTCCCCCGAGTTTATGGATACTTGGATCTTATTCGTTCTCTTGTATTATAGAGACACACAAATGACTGTCTACCTTTTAGTGTTTATTTGCTCTAACAATCAGAACATGTAGCTTTCAAAAATGCTAAAGATTAAGTTTAACTGAACTCAACATTTGATACTCTTTTACTAATTAAAGTAAAAAACATTAATAAGCAAAGTACCCACTCTCTAGTGGGGTTAGCATAGACAAGGGTACACAGTGGTTAGTTTACAGAGGACAAACACATGGGACTGCCTCGGTATTGAACAGAACTTCAACTCTGATATGGCAACTAAGCCAAAGGCCCTTTTTCTTTTTCTTTTTTGAGACGGAGCCTCACTCTGCTGTCCCAGGCTAGAGTGCCATGCTGTCATTATAGCTCACAGCAACCTCAAACTCTGGGGCTCAAGTGATCTTTTTGCCTCAGCCTCTCAAGCAGCTAGAACTACAGGTGCCCCCACAATGCCACCTAATTTTTCTATTTTTAATAGAGACAGGGTCTCACTCTTGCTTGCTCTGGTCTCATACTGAGCTCAAACAATCTATCCACCTTAGCCTCCCAGAGTGCTGGGATTATAGGTGTGAGTACCCAGCCCAAAAGTCTATTATGATAGATTGAAAAATAGATTTTTGAAGACACAGTACTTGTGAGATAACCAATGAAAAAGACTCCAGAACAATAATTCTAAATTTGTCATCAAGTGCTCACTACTGGTAAATGACAATGTTCTACAATTGACAGGTAAAAGAAGGGAGCCTGCATTTTTCAGTGGTGGATTTAAGACAGTAGTGCCTACCGGGAACCAGGTGAAAACAAATAGTATGGTTCTGTGGTCACTAGGGAGCCAGTGGGAAGACAGGTTTCCAGAACAGCATCTCTGTCTCACGCCAACCCTAAAGGCAGGGTAAGTGCTGCCATGTTTCACAGGGCTTTCCCCCAAGTGGAGGTGATTAGAAAGGAACAATGTTTAGCTTTAAGAATCTTAATGTACACCTCTGCCCTTCCCACCTGTTTGTCTTGTCTTCTGTCCAAAGTTTTTGCTGGAACTCAGGGAATTGCTCTCATTAGATAACCACTTGCTACTTAAGAAGCAGGTCAGACAGTATTTAAACTCTCTTCCTAAGGATGATGGAACCGAGGTTTGCGTGCAGAACAGGCTTCCATTTAGCTGCAAAACCCCTTAACTCCCAGCAAGGAAAAATCTCTGGCTCCTAGAACTTCTTCAGTTCTCTGGGTCCCTAGCAACTCAGAGATTTACTTACCCAGTGTTTCCGATCAACGTCTTCATCTGCATCCCACTTTCGAGTCAAGAAAGGGTGTTTTTTGCTGATTATTTCTCCTTCAAAGAAGGTTGTAAGCGTTGGGTACTCCTATGGTAAAAGTACAAATATTAAAACAAGCTGATGAATGCAAGTTTTAACCTTCTTACAAAGGACCAACCTTCCTTTAACTTCTTTGCAGTACTCTTGATGTTGCGAACTGACGATCCAAACCAGAGTTAGATCCAGTTGATTTACCAAGAAGCTGTGGAAATAAATTTGAATTTAAATTGCCCAGATAGGCCAGGCATGGTGTCTCACATCTGTAATCCCAGTATACTGGGAGGCTGAGGCAAGTGGATTGCCTGAGTGCAGGAGTTTGAGACCAGCCTGAGCCAGAGTGAGACACCATTTCTAAAAATAGCTGGGTGTTGTGGTGGGCACCTGTAGTTCCAGCTACTTGGGAGGCTGAGACAAGAGAACCACTTAAGCCCCAAGAGTTTGAGGTTGCTGTGAGCTGTGACACCATGGCACTCTACTGAGGGTGACATAATAAGACTCTATCTCAAAAAAAAAAAAAAAGTTTCCAGATGTGGATATTTTTTGGAGAATATTTTGACACACAGAGATTCAAGTAATTCCATCATATGAACTAAGGAAAGTTAGTTTTTCCTTCTATCTGAAGGAAAATATATCCAAATCACATTTGCAATATAAAACCACAATCATTAAAAACCATGCTATTGGGCGGTGCCTGTGGCTCAGTGGGTGGGGTGCCGGCCCCATATACTGAGGGTGGCAGGTTCAAACCTGGCCCTGGCCAAACTGCAACAAAAAATGGCCGGGCATTGTGGTGGGCACCTCTGGTCCCAGCTACTCGGGAGGCTGAGGGAGGAGAATCACCTAAGCCCGGAAGTTGGAGGTTGCTGTGAGTTGTGTGATGCCATGGCACTCTACTGAGGGCAATAAAGTGAGACTCTGTCCCTACAAAAACAAAAACAAAAACATGCTATTGAAAGCATAAGTAAGCTGTCATGGGCTGCTTAGAGTACTTTGTGAATTTTTTTTGTGTGTGACAGTCTCACTCTGTCACCCAGGCTAGAGTGCCATGGCATCAGCCTCGCTCACAGTAACCTCAAACTTCTGAGTGCAAGGGATCCTCCTGCCTCAGCCTCCTGGAAGCTGGAACTACAGGTGCCCGACATAATACCTGACTAATTTTTCTATTTTAGTAGAGACAGGGTCTTGCTTTTGCTCAGACTGGTCTCAAAGTCCTAACCTCAAGGGACTCTCCCACCTTGGCCTTCTAGAGTGCTAGAATTACAGGCATAAGCCACTACACCAGTCATTTTGTGAATTTTATTAGCTCTTTGTGTATGTGCTAATAAGCAGACAGCAAAGATTTAGAAAAAAATTAAAACATTAAAAAGTCTATCATTACTCTGCCCTTAGAAAAACCAATCAACTGACCAACCCACCCCTCACACTGCAACACTTATGGTTTAAATCACTAGTTTTCCTAATAAATGATTCTGCACTGACTTCTTTCTAAATACATCTTAAGCAGTATTACGAGTATGGCTAAAGGATACCTTCAAACTCTGACAATTAACTAAAATAAACACCTAATAAATAAGGGGCGGTGCCTGTGGCTCAAAGGAGTAGGGCGCCAGCGCCATATACCAGAGGTGGCGGGTTCAAACCCGGCTCCAACCAAAAAAACTGCAAAAAGAAAAAAAAAAACCTAATAAATAAGATTCAATATGTATAGAAGTCACCGAAAAGAGAAAATACTTCTCAGAGTAGGAACAGGATATTCAAGCACTTGATTACAGCCAATAGGAAGTAATTTACAGTGCCAAAGAAAAACCACACCAGCAGGAGATATATCAGGAAAGGGCCAAATCAAGAGGTAGAGTGCAGCTAGCATCTCCCCTGCCCTCCCCCAGGCAAAGCACAGGCTTCCCACAGAGGGCGTGACTGTCATCAGTCATTTAAATTCTCTAAGAAGTCCTTTCACTGATTCTAGGCTCACCTCAAACTGTCTGATGATGGGTGCCCTGACTTTGCTCGAAAAGCTATCTTCTATGAATTTAACACTCAACTGGCCAGTAAGTCCCTGAGAACTTCACTGTAACTTAACTGCACTTTTGCTCATGTATCACTCTCTTCTGAGTTTGGTTAGTGTAACCTGTCTAGTTCTGAACATGACTCCTGTAAACTTGGCTGGAGCTTCCAACCTTTCCAAACACATCGAATGAGTTAGAGGAGCATCTGACCATGACCCCCCAACAGAGTCTCACTATGTTACTCTTGGTAGAGTGCCATGGCATCACAGCTTATAGCAACCTCAAACTCTTGGGCTTAAGCAATTCTCTTGCCTCAGCCTCCCTCCCAAGTAGCTGGGACTATAGGTGCCTGCCACAATACCAGGCTGTTTTTTTGTTGTAGTTGTCATTGTTGTTTGGCAGGTCTGGGCCAGGTTTGAACCTGCCAGCCCTGGTGTATGTGGCTGGTGACCTAACTGCTGAGCTACAGGCACCGAGCCTATTTGAAGATTTCTAATGCTACTGACCATACCTGTGCAGCTTCCTATTACCCAAAAGACTGGTTTTGAGTCAGTGATAACATTCCAACACATTACACATTTTGCAGCTTTCCTTATGAAGTTCAAAGTCTATGCTCTGCACACCATTAACAAATGCATTTGATGGCCTGATAGCAGAGCATATTGTTTTAGTATGCTAAACAACCACAACCCAAAGGTTAGAATCCTTTACTTTGCTATCATTCTCTGCTCCTCCTTGATTGGATATATTTCTAGAGGTGGAGGAGGTACTTTTTGTCTACACAACAAATGTCATGGAAAATTCTCAATCAAGTAGTATCAAGGAGATAGCAACAATTGTCTCGAGACCGAGGCTTATCAAGATTTCACAACAGTATCCCACATCAGGATTACAGAGTCTGCCACTTCCTCTCACACTGTTTCCTCCCTGCAGGACAAGTCCACAGACAACAGGGCAGGGATTTTTTTTTAAAGAGGCAAGGTCCACTATGGTGCCAAAACTGGAGTATGGTGGCTATCTACAGGCACAACCAGAGACCACTGCAGCCTAGATTCCTGGGCTCAAGTGATCCTCCTGCCTCAGCCTTCTGAACAGCCAGAACTACACACACACACACCACTGTGCTGCTCTGGAGCAGGGACTTTTAATTCTCATTTTACAGATGAGGACACTGAAACGAGAAGTTAAAGGTCACAGAAGCAGGAAGGGCTAGAGTGAGAATGCTGCCCCAGCCCCTTTCCACTGCTCTGTCCAGCACAGCCCTCCATCCAAATACTGCTGGGTCATCAAGGTCACAAGAGCTAACAAAAGGCCAAAGGCCCCATGGCCAGGTCTAGCCTAGGCACTCACAGAAAAGGCCACAGCCAGGCCGGCCACCTCTTTCTGCTTCCTTTTCCCTCACTAATGGAAAAGGATGTTCCTTACTGCTGTCTAAATTTCCAGGACTTCTGAGGTTTAGTAAGTTGGTTTAAAGAAAGGAAACACTTTGCTTTTACACAGAAGGTACTCCTGTTGGAAAATGGATGATTACTTTTCATTGTTCCAATGAACAATGAAAGAACTTAAAATCTTGGTTTTTGTACGACTGATGCTTATCTTAGAAACTATAAACTTATGATGAGGATGGCAGCTATATTCTTACTATACTTCTTTCCAAAAAAGGATTAAAACCAAAATCAATAGTGTATTGGTGGCATCATAAACTTTCATTAAAAGATTTTTTTTTGTCTCAGAGCCTATAGCTCAACAGCTAAGGCACCAGCTACATACACTGGAGCTGGTGGGTTCAACTCCAGCCCAGGCCTGCCAAATAACAATGACAACTACAACCAAAAAATAGCTGGGCATTGTGGTGGGTGCCTGTAGTCCCAGCTACTCAGGAGGCTGAGGCAAGAGAATCGTGTAAGTCCAAGAGTTTGAGGTTATTGTGAGCTGTGATGCCACAGCACTCTACCCAGTCTTGAGACTCTGTCTCAAAAAAAAAAAAAAAAAAAAGATTTGGTTTTTGGCCAGGTACAGTGGCTCACACCTGTAATCTTAACACTTTGGGAGGCCAAGGAGGTTGGATTGCTTGAAATCTGGAGTTCAAGACCAGCCTGAGCAAAAGTGAGACCCCCATCTCTACTGAACATAGGAAAACTAGCCAGGTATTGTGGTAGGCTCCTATAGTCTAAAGAACTCAGGAGGTTAAGGTAGGAGGATGGCTTGAGCCCAAAGAATCTGAGGTTGCTGTGAGCTACAATGATGCCATGACACTCTACCCAGAGCTACAGAGACTGTCCCTAAACAAACAAACAAATAAATAAATAAATAAATATTTTGTTTTGTTTTTGAGACAAAGTCTCATTCTGTCACCTGGGCTAGAGTGTCATGGCCTCAGTCTATCTCACTGCATCCTCAAACTCCTGAATTCAAGTGATGATCCTGCCTCAGCCTCCTAAGTTGCTGGGACTACAGGTGCTTGTCACCATGCCCAGATCATTTTTCTATTTTTAGTGGAGATGGGATCTCACTTTGTTCAGGCTGGTCCCGAACTTCTGAGGATCCTCCTGCCTCAGCCTCCTAGGGTGCTAGAATTACAGGCATGCGCCACTGCACCCAGCCTCTTTAAAAGATCTGTGAATCTGTGTATTTCCCAATAGGACACATCAAAACTACCAGCTTTATGTTTCCTAAACAGTAACAATGTTTAGAAATAGTTTGAATTAGGTCTTGCAGAGTTGAGACTGCCTGCCTTTAACCCCATGAGACTGCCGAGTGTGTCACCGACTCTCCATTTCCGCTGGATGGGAGTGCGTGCTTACCTCAGTAAGGCCTTTAATCTTCAGGTACCCACAAAGGTAAGAGTTCCCTGTGTCCACATGCTGGAAAGAAAGGACATACAACTTGTTACAAATGGATGAACCCACGAGGAGACATGCTGGGAAATACTCTGGAAATCCTGGGATACCATGCCAGGTAAGGTAGTGACCAGGTGGTCAGTGCACACCTGATGCAGCCTACATGTGATCCAGCCTTTAAGGTCTTCCTGAGTCCTCCCTGCACAGGCCTGTTTTGCAAAAGCAAACTGATGCCAGTACCCTCTCAACTTCCTTCAGGTGGGTATCTTGAGACAAAAGTGCCTTTTGGGAATAAGGGGCTTGCTCAAATCTCATTTTCTGCACTGTCTTCAACACACGTCTCCCCAGACTTTGTGCATTCCTCGGCATGAGGTCTTTATCTCTACCTGTACACAGAGTTGTCTCTAACTCTGGTTTGACTTTCTTTCCAATGTCTTTCTAGTCTATTTCTATGTTCTCAGTCATTGGTCTAGGAAATCTATCCTTCCCCTATTTTTTATATCACACATCATTCTGCATTATTTTTCTTTATGAAATGGACAGAGTTTTCAGAAACAGCACCTTATAAACAGACTTTTATATGGTATTAATTTCAGTTATGAACCAAAATGCAATAAAAATCTGACTATACTGTGAATGAATGCTCTGCCCATTTCATATACAGATGTTTTATTTCTTAAAGAGTCAGGAGCCTAAATAAAAATGACAGACCCAGTAGATTTTGAGGCTTAGTAGCCACCAATTACTAGTTGCTGAGATACTGATGGATGCCTACCTACCAACAAATTTTCTCCTTTTCTGGGCAGGACCCAGATTTTGTTCTGGGACCTATCCTACTCCATAAGACCTGGTCAACCCTAATGATCTAAGGCAAACATACACCCTTATCCCCTTGCAAGTCATCATTTTAAGAATGAGTGATCCAGTTCTGGCCAATCAGATGTGTGTCTCAGTCTTCTAGTGCATCTGGGAGAGATCACTGGCTTTGAAGAGGTACATGAAGAAAAACCGGTTTTTCTTTCTTTAGTGGTAGTAGAATCTGTGATCAGTGTCCAGTCCTAGGACAACCATCTAGAGATCAGGAGGAAAAACAGGCCACAATGTGCTGAGGATGGCAGCACAAAAAGATGGAAGGAACTGGGCTAGTGGGGGCCCCCAAATTAATCAACCAGGAGCCAAACTCCTCATGATGTGAAATAATAGGCTAACTTACTCTTTAGGCTACTTTGAAATGCAAAATACAGTTACATGCAGCTGAAAGCATACTGACTAGTACATTTTACCCAAATATATACAGACTTATCCTGAACAGGCAGACTTTCAGATTCATGACAATTGTATTCACAAAATAAATCCCTGAATTAAAGCAAAACAAAGTACAATGGTAACTGCAACTCAATGAGTTTTTAATGTTAACCTAAGTCTCATTTTAAGAAACTAGAAAGGTTTTTGTGGAATTTATCAGACTACTTCCAATTATACCATAAATCAAATACTAAGGCAATCCTTAAAAACTGTAATGAACTTAGGCAGCCAGATGATGTCAGCACCAAAGCAACTGAGGTTCAATGAAGCCAAGGTGCCTTCACAAGCCAAGGTGCTGGTGGCAAAGGTATTCCAAGGGAAAACTGTCAAAGCATTTTAAATATCCTCATCTGCTGACCTTGGCATTGGACATCATCTAAAACAGAAGATCCACACTAACATGGTTCAGCAAAGAATTTTTATTAAAGGACACACAGTTCTGACCTGAAGCTTTAAATTTCACGCACAAAATTCTCACTGAATTCAACACAGTTTGGGGTTTCACAGCTGCTGAAAAGGGTATCAGCTGGCAAGGATACTTACTAATATGATTAAAAATCGAACTATAAATTGGCTAACATTTTGCATGGATTATCACAAGCTCAAGAATCAGAATTTCAGCTTGGCCTCCATTCAACCATGTGTCTTTCCCATTCTGCCCAAACTGATCTTTAAGATGGTTAGTGAATTCACACCACAACGCATACAGCTTTAAGCAAACGGCAGGCCACGATCTCAATGAGAAAGATGAGCATGTGCTCAGCTAGAAGGTCTTGCAGCCCAGCTGTGTTCAACAGCTGCTCTTTTAAATATTCCTTTCAGTGACTTGGGTTTCATTCTACTATTGGCTTTCTAGATGGCAGAGAAGGAAAGAGTAGTCACAGTAGGAGAGGGAAAAAGAAAAAGACCCAGTCAGAACCTCACAAAGGTCAGAAGAACTCTTTAAAATGAAATTTCAAAAAAGAAAACGCTCCGAAAAGCACATGAGAAGATGTACGACATCATTCGTCATTAGGGAAATTCACATTGAGACCACAATGAAAGACCACTTCAAACCCAGTAGGATGGCTTCAATCAAAAAGATGAACAACAGCCAAGTGTTGGTGAGGATGGGGAGAAATTGGAACCGTCATTCATTACTGGTGGAAATGTAAACCAGTGTAGCTGCCTTGGAAATCACTGGCAGCTCGTCAAAATGTTAAACATAGAGTTATCATATGACCCAGCAATTTCACTCCCAGGCATCTATCTACTGGAGAGAAATAAAATTTTTTTTTTTGAGACAGAGTCTCACTTTATTGCCCTTAGTAGAGTGTTGTGGCGTCACAGCTCACAGCAACCTCCAACTTCTGGGCTTAAGTGATTCTCTTGCCTCAGCCTCCCGAGTAGCTGGGACTACAGGTGCCCGCCGCAACGCCCAGCTATTTTGTTGTTGTTGTTGTTGCAATTTGGCCAGGGCCAGGTTCGAACCAGCCACCCTTGGTATATGGAGGTATATGGGGTATATGGCCCTACCCACTGAGCAATAGGTGCTGCCCCTGAGAAATGAAATTTTTGTTCACATAAAAACTCGTACATAAATGTTCATAACAGGATTTTTAATAGCCAAAAAGTGGAAACAACCCAAATGTCTGTCAACTAATCAATGGATAAATAAAAATGCTGTATATATCCATACAATGAACAATTGTAACAATGAACCACTGTCACAAAAAACAACGCGATGATAAAAAGGAGAGAACTGCTGATCCATAGTACCATAAGACGAACCTTAAGGTCATTATGCTATATCATTCCATTTTTATGAAATGTCCAGGATAGGCAAATCAAAAACAAAACAAAACACTAGATCAGCAGTCGCCTAGGACTAGAAGCGGTGATGGCTAATGGTCCAAGATTTCTCTTTTGGGGTTAATAAACATGTTCTAAATATGTTGTAGTGTGGGTTACACAACTCTGTGAATAGGCTGAAAACTATTGAACTGTACACCTTAAATAGATGAATTATATCTAAGTAAAGGTATTTTTTAAAAAAGAAAGAAGGAAAGAAGTTGAGTTATGAAAGGCAGAAGAGTATTCTGAGAAGGCTGCGTCTGAGAAACTAGTCCTGGCTGAAAAACCAGATGACCAGGGAACCTATATGCCACTGACTAGTGAACAATCAGCTCATCAATCCAGACATAGGGCAGCATTCCTCGGCCTGACCACCCCTACCATCAGACATCCTACTCCAGTGGCTCCCAGGCATCAGCCAGGTTCAGCTGCACCCCAACTCAATTGCCAGCTCTGCTGGTTCACAAGGAGACTGACCCCAATGGGAGTTCAGGAACAACACACGAGTGATAGGAGAGAAGAGTTGTGTTGACCAAAGTAGACTTTCCTTTGACACCCAGATGCCCAGCCAGTTTGCTATCACACCAAAAATCATCAAATTCAACAATGGGCACAAATTCATTCCTTCACACTAGATTTTTACATTTTAAAAAGAAAAAAAAGAGAGAGAGAGAGAGAATCACATTAGGTGTGTGCATATATATATATATAGTTACACAGATGGAAATATTTCAGCCACAGTAGTTTTCAATTACAACAAATATCATGGCTCATGAAAGAAATTTAAGTTTATAGACCAAAGACACAGTCAATATAAAGGTGCAGTTTTCCTCATCAAAACCAAAAACTACTTACTCTCATAAAGCGGTTAAGAAAAAAAAAAGAGTGATGAGTGCTCTACGGTTGACAGAAAGAAAAGGCACCCGTATTGTATTTTAGGTGGGAGACTTGTTCAGAAGCGAAGCTAAGATTTAATATTTAAAAACTTGACATGTTATGTTCCACCCTCACACACTGGGGCAGTGAGGCAGCATACAGAGTCTCAAAGCTTCTGGAAGGGCTTTTAAGGAACAGGTGTTTGGGGGACTTTGGGGAACAGCCTAGGAGATGGGGTGTCAGACTAACGGGAAAGGAGCAAAGGGAGGGTAAAAGTGGGTCCTCGGGCAGGCAGGGGTAGGTACAGAGAAGGGACATAAAAAGGAGTATTCACCACCACTAACCTCCTTCGGCTAGGTAGAGTGTCAGGAATGAAGGGGTGAGGTAAGGGCTGACAGAGGAAGCTGCAGTTCCAAAGCTGATCAGAGACTGGCAGCAGGTACTCAGAAATCGAGGTCAAATGGGGGGAGGTGAGTGGACAAGAAATAAAACTGAGTGAGTTAGGTTTCCCAGCACGTGGGTATCAGAGACTGGGAGCAAGCCCTTGTACAGAAAAGTTAAGAACATGGAAAAGCAGTTCCCTGGAACGAGGAACAAGCAAGACGAAGGTATGCAGTGGCAAGTCTGGTAGAGAGTAGACTGGACATGGTCACAGAGCAGGGGGAGTGTGAGGAGCATGGGACAGTAGGCCTAGGTTTGAGGGCAGCAGGGAGAGGCTGGGTGCCCAGACTACAAGAGACTGAAGCAGTGGGTGGCTAGAGGAGGGTCCCAAGACTGCAGGATTCCAAGAGACTTAAGGAGCCCCAGAGAGTGCCTCCTCTTGAAAGGGCCCAGGGTCTGACCAATTACTTGTGGGTTGGAGGCTCAACCAATGGAGGGAGGGTGCTCCCACGTCTGAGCTGATCAAACTATCCTCAGAAGGAAACCTCCAAGAGGAATACCCCAGGGTCTGAGAATTCCTGGGACTGAAGAAAAGGAGGGCGCATGTCTCAGGTCTGGGAGAATATGACGTGGGCCCAGCCAAGGGGAGCGTCCCGAGTCTCGGAAACCAACGGAGACGTCTTCGGGGACTGAAAAGGACTGGTGGGTGGCAGGGCCGATTTAGGGACAACAGGTCACGGGGAAGAAGGATCCAGGCCATGGGAGAGAGCCAGTCATGGGGGCTTCCGGATCCCAGGCGCGCCGGTCAAGGGCTTGAAGTCTGGGAAAGCCTTCAGAGTCGGCCAGGAGCTGTTCACTACAGACTCCGGGTCCGAGAGGGCAGGTCAGGATTGGGGATCGGAGTGTGAGACACTAGCTGGGTAGGTCCCGGCTCAGAAGCCCCGGGTGCAGGAGGCCCCGGCGGCGAGGGCCTGGTCTGCGGCTGTGGGCTCGAGGAGCCAAGGGCGGGCACGGCCCGTGAGCGCCGCGAGGAGGCCCTCGGGCCCCGGCCCGGCCCGGCGCTCACCTGCAGCACCACCTCTACGTCGTACGAGTTCCCCTTGCTCTTCTGGTGGCCGCGGAACTTGGAGCCGCTGTAGAGCAGGCTGGTGGCCACGCCGGGCTGCTGGGTGTTGATGGGCGGTGGCGGGATGAGTGAGGCCGCGGAGGCAGCCGAGGCACCGGCCGGTGGGGGACACTCGGTGCGGACCGGCATCGCGGGGTCCCCCGGAGCCAGGGCTGGAGGAAGGGGGAGAGGAACCGCCGCCGCCGCGCGGGAGCCGAGAGGGTGGCGGGGAGGCAGAGGCTGGGGCGCGCACGCGCCGGGTGGGGGCAGGAGGGGGGACCACCTGCCCGCTGCCTGCGGACCAAGCGCTCCGGCCGTCACCGGGGCCCCAAGACCTGCGAGCAGGGCCTCCCGGTCCTGAGCTGGATCCCCCTCCCCACTTGCCCTCGCACACAGACTCACACTCACACACTCACACACTCACACACACACCACTCCTTCCGATTGGCCCGGGCGAGCCGGGAAGGCGGGAGAAGGTTCACGCGGCGCTTCCGCCCATTGGCGAGCAGAGAAAACACGTGGCAGGGTGCACGAGAGGCCCTCTGGGACTTGTAGTCTTCTGGAGGACACACAGCGTGAGAGGGGGCGGGGCGAGGTGCGTTTGTGATGCTGATTGACTGGAGAGGTGCGCAGGAGGCGCGCGGCGGCGACGGCGCGCTGTTGGTGTCATGAGGAAGATGGCGGCGTCCAGGGGAGGCTGAGGGTTATGGGGAGACAGTGAAAGGTTTCCGTACAGCCCGAGAGAGTCGCTTGGAGGTCCTTTCGCTCTGGATTTCCGGCTCCTAGATTTCGCGCCACGCGTCTTCTCAGACTCTCGTGCGCGATGTGGAGGAGCTGCCTCAAATTGCGGGACCTAGGAGGACGCCGGCTCCTGAACCGGCCCGTAGGTGGCCCCACAGCGTTGGTAGGGCTGGGGCCAACCCTCCCGGCCCTGACCCGGGCCTACGCTCCCCCGACAGGTGAGGCCAGAACAAGTGCGCTTTTGGCCGGCGAGCTAGCCGCGCTAAGGTGGGCTTCGGGCTTCGGTTGTGCAGGGCGGGATGACTGAGGGAGGTTTCAGGCTCATGAGGTTATTCAGGCCAGTGGGTCCTACTGCAGATGAGAAACTGAAGCCCAGACAAGGGCAGGGACGACCCTAGGAGACACAGCACAGTAGGAGACAGTAATTGATATTTGGCGCGTGCACCTTTTCTCAAAGGCTGTATATGACTCGCTTCTCTCTAATAAGAAAACCAGGTGTCATCCTTGTTTTCAAACGGAGAAGTTTGGGCTCTGGATCGGGACTTTGCCAAGGTTACAAAGCAGAGTCTGAGAGGTTTGTGAAGGGCAAAAGCTAGCCTGTATGACTGCTTTCTGTGTCCCCAGTGCTGGGCACAAGACCTGGCACAGAAGGGGCCTACAACTCAGCCTTCGGTCCTCCATCCCTGGCACTTCTCTGCGGGTTTCGTGGCCCTCCCTCCTACCAAAACACCTGGTGGCTGTAGCCCTCTCTCCTAAATGGAATTTGACACCATGCCTTCTTTCTCCACTCTGACTCTGATGAGGCCTAGCAGAAGGTGTGGCTCTTTGCTGCTGAAGAGTGGATTAGGGCAGGAGTGGGGAAACTTTTCGTGTTGCAAGGTTGCATTTATTTAGCTGTAATCAAATGAGGCCGCATTCAAAAAGCATCAATTAGATTTACATTAAAATGTACATTATCTTGTAAAAATCTAATTACTATGTTCTGAATAATGTCAAAAAGTGGACTGAGCACAGTAGCTCATGCCTGTAATCCTCACATTTTGGGAGGCGGAGGAGGTGGGTTGCTTGAGCTCAGAAATTGAGACCAGCCTGAGCAAGAGAGACCTCATCTATACTAAAAATAGAAAAAAAAATTAGCCAGGCATTGTGTCAGGTGCCTGTAGTCCCACCTACTGGAGAGACTGAGGCAAGAGGTTCGTTTGAACTCAGGAGTTTGAGGTTGTTGTGAGCTAGGCTGATGCCATGGCACTCTAGCGTGGGCAACAGTGTGAGACTGTCTCAAAAGAAAAACATAATTTAAAAAAATGAAAACTGGTTATTTTAAAGTTAAACCTTTTTAATAACTTTGATATGTGTGCTTTTCTTGGAAAGTATTTGAATATTTGGTTGCAGATGGAGGTCTGCAGTTTCAGTTGATCCTCTAGGTGGGTGTTAGTCATTTGTGACCTTAAAGGCATCTTGATTTGGGTTAGGTAGCAGAATGTAGATTCACAACAGTAAGTGTTTGAAAAGCCAGAAAGCATTTTGGGGTTGTGTTGCTGAAGTCGTGGGTATTCTACTGCATTTTTCCATATTTCAATTGAATCTTTTAAAGTCATCAAATAATGACTTTAAAATAGTCTATGAGACCTCAGTCAATTCCATCTCCAGTTCTTTAGTTGTCTTAGTGATATCGACTGGATGAGGCTGAAATGCTAATCTGAGCGTAATGTTACGATTCTCAAAGTCAGTGAACTTGTCACTGTATTCTCCAATTAATACATCTGTTCAGCTGTGTATTCTTCAAATGATTTGCATATATCATCCTGCTCATCAATGACTGTTACTAAGGAAAATAATCATCTGAAGTTTCCTTTTGAAGAAGTGTTTTGAAAAGAGATAGCTTTTTTTGATTTTTTTGGTTTGTTTGTTTTTGAGACAGAGTCTCACTTTGTTGCCCGCTGGGATAGTGCTCACAGCAACCTCCAACTCCTGAGCTCAAGTCATTCTCTTGCCTAGGCCTCCCAAGTAGCTGGGATTACAGGCGTCTACCATAATGCCCAGCTATGTTTAGAGGCAGGGTCTTGCTCTAGCTCAGGCTGATCTCTAACTCCAGAGCTCAGACAGTCCACCTGCTTTGGCCTCCCAGAATGCTAGGATTACAGGCATGAGCCACTGCGCCCAGCCTGAAAATAGTGTTTATACATTTAGTCTGAAGAAATTTTTAAACAGCTTTATTGAGATTTAATTTACTTACTGTACAATTCATTCATTTAAAGTGTAAATATAGTATAGTTTTCAGTATACATATTCATAGTTATGCAACCATTACCACAATTTTAGAACATTTTCACTGGCCCCAAAAGAAATCCTTATGTTTTAGCTAGCATCTTCCTTTACCCTGCCCATTCTTCTAGCCTCAGGCAGCCATTTCTTTTCTTTTTGCCTTTAGAGATTTCTCTACTTTGGAAATATATAACAGAATGTGGTCTTTTTTGGACTGACTAATGTCACTTAGCATTTTTTTTTGTTTTGTTTTAAGACAGTTTCACTATGTCACCCTGGTTAAGAGTCCTGTGGCATCACAGCTCACAGCAACCTCCAACTCTTGGGCTTAAGCGATTCTCTTGCCTCAACCTCCCAAGTAGCTGGGAGTACAGGCACCTGCACACCTGGCTATTTTTTGGTTTTGTCATTGTTATTTAGCAGGCCTGGGCTGGGCTCAAGCCCACCAGTGTATGTGGCCGGCGCCCTACTCATTGAGCTATGGGTCTGAGCCACTTAGCATGTTTTTAAGTTTTATACATGTTATATCAGTATTCAGTGCTCTGTTTTTTTGTTTTTGTTTTTGTTTTTTTTTGAGACAGAGCCTCAAGCTGTTACCCTGGGGTAGAGTGCTGTGGCATCACAGCTCACAGCAACCTCCAACTCCTGGGCTCAAGCGAGTCTCCTGCCTCCACCTCCCAAGTAGCTGGGACTACAG